TGTCATAAAATAAAAGTTTATTGCGCAGCAAATTATGCATTATTATGTAATCATCAATCATATGAGAGAGGTTCTATGTTCATCAAGCTATATGATGATAGTTATTGGTCAAAAACGATATTTCTATATTTGGGTCCAGGAACAGTTAAGATAATACTCACGTGGCTTCTTTTAGAATGGTTTTAGGTCCTAAAATTATTTACAGAAATGATAATGAAAAAAATTTACTACTGGGCAGTTTAACAAAGTGTTAGAAGGTAAATGCTTACTTGTTCTCGAAGAAATGTGCCAACTCATATAAATGATGTAATTAGCGGCTTACAAAATACATCAAAGTTTTAATATATTTGAAATAATAATTTATTTTATTTACATATAAAAAATCGGTCAAAAGAAAAGCATCGCATAAATTATAAAAATATACTTTTTTAAAATTGTTATTTCATCACGGCGCAACAATTTTTATGCCACTAAATTGATTCATTATAATTAGTCTAAAAATTAAGTTTAGTAAACGCTGTATTTGCTTAATACTTTGAATGCATATTCATATTTAAATTTATATAAAAAAAACAAATTTAAAACTAATTTTAAATTAGTTAAAAAAAAATTAATTATCAACAGTTAGAACTCGAAGTACCGATATCCTATATACTGATAATTAATGTAATAAATTTTCTATGTCTAACAATAATTAAACCATTAACCAAAAATCACCATGGATTCGGAATTGATTTAATTATAAGTAGTCAAACTTATATTTGAGAATTATGCAGTATTAAATTTTCATAATCTAACGGTTTTAAAAATTTGTAAAAGGTTTTTCCTAGAAGAGAAAAAAAATAAATTTCAACCAGTTAATTCTATAAAACGATTTAAATGGTTAGAATATGTTGTAAATCTACCATATCATACATATGTACAGTATAATCCATAAAGTTTAAAATTAACGATTCTAAAATCATTTAGTACCAAGCTCTTCATTCGTCAGGATTCAATTTTAAACCGATAAAATGGAGAATAAATGCCTAATAAATATAATACCTGGTTTTCTAAACTACATAGGCATTAGCCTTTGTGAATGTTTTGGTGTATTTGATAAATGCCGTACGAAAACCGTGAAATATTAAAGACAAGCATTTTGTTTCTGGTTTTGGAATTCCTGATCATAAAAGTTTCAATAAATTATCTTAAATAAATCATTTTCAATAATTAGATCAATTTTATTAATTGGAAGAACTTTGATAACAGTAGTTTCAAAGAATTTATTTTTAGGAAAAATCACCGGGACTGACTTTTAACGTTCTAAATGAAATCATCATGTTTAATACAATGCTCATTGCATTTCAATATTTCTATATGCACTTTTAGAGTTGAATTTTGCGCAGACGAAAAACTTATACATGACGTAAGAGAATTTTATATTCTTTTTCGTAAATTTCCAAAATTTTATATATACAATAAGTATATGATAATGTTTAGTCGAATTTTCTAACAAAGTTTTCGAATAATGAAATTTGATTCATAAAAAATTCTTAAAACCTAGACAATGATTGCTTGAATTCCTAGTGTGAATGGAATGATCATTAGCACGCCTACTTTTAACCCATTCTTTTTAAATTACGTATTGTTGTATTTAATTCTTTCGTTTATGTATTTGTAAAAAATTTTAAATGTAAGCAGAAGGTTTTTATTGAGTAAAAATGAAGTTGCCTCAACGTCGGCGCTCTACACTTTCACAATGTAACTAAAAAAATGCCAAATCAATAAAACTCTATTTAATTAAAGCTGCGCAATTACGAGAAATTGTGTAATAAAAAAATAACCATGTTAAAACGGCGAAACGAAAATATCGCGAAGGTATTAAAGGAAGATTTTAAGGTGTATGTATGCAAAAACAAGAAGGGACGTGAATGGTATATTGAGCTGTTTAAGGATTTCCGGCTTGTATTTATAAAAAAAATTAATAATTAGGACAGCCTGGCATCTTGTCATCCTGCCAACCTGACATTCTAACAACCTGGCACCGTGACAACCTGGCAAAATGATCTTCAAAGGACTAACTGCAAATATCGAAAACAATTTACATACAAAATTATGGTGTCTCTGGGCGAAATTATATTCAATGTAACTATTCCTCGATCAAATTATTAAAATTCTTTAATGGCCTCATAGGGATTCTTGTGTTAAATAAATATTTATTAAAGATACTTAGAATTATTCATCGCATTGAGATAATTAATAAATTGAAGACGTTATTTCCATTGATGATAGAAAGATGATTACATAATAATGCATAATTTGCTGCGCAATAAACTTTTATTTTATGACAGTTCACGCAAGAATTGGGGTAATGAACATGTAATAAATAGCAGAAGTATTGTAATTTTCCGTTGCGTCTTTTAACTACTCTCCGCCCTACCAACACTCGTCTACCATTAATATTTAATGGACAGGTTGGGTGTCGTTAACTTGGTGAATATCGTAATGATTGTTCTATCTTAGTTCAATGCGCCGACCTACATATAATTTCGTCAGCGTGGTCTCAATGACCTTAAATTGTCCACAGTTATTATCGAAAAAAGTCACTATTCCACTTTCTGTTTTGATATCACTATTAACCTCATTCTAAAAAGATAAAATCTTCACGAATTTCATTCAATATTCCTGAAGCTTGAAACTAAATCATTTTATTATTGACAAAGAAATTTACTAATCAACAAAATACATTTAAGGAATTAAAAGATTTAAAGATTTTCAAGTGGAATGTTTTATGAAAATGAAATAAAATAAATAAAGCATCTTTTTAAAATTTGTCACTCTGAAATTATTCAAATATTTATGTAATAAATAGACCTCTTACTTTTAAACAACTAACTCGATGTTTGCTGGCATTTAATGTTGTGATTACTGCACTTTTCACAAAGAGGAGATAAATGAGGTTTTTTGTACTTAGTTCTCCTATTGTGGAGATGTCGGTAACTCACCAGTTTATTGTTAACATTATTACAATCCTTACAATACTGCATAAAATAATCACCACGGTTCAGATCTGACGCGAGAACGCCATCCAGATATTTTTGGAGCAAAACCCACGTATAAGAGCTGGTCCACTTTTTCGTGCATGTATCGCGGTTGCAGTCCCATTCTCCAAAAACACGATACCATTTTTTCATTTCTTCATCTTCATATATTAAACGTTCGAAGAAGTAAGGCCCATAACTGGTCAGCTCGTTGTATTTATTATCGCAGGTTCTACACTTTTGTTCGATATAGTCGCCTTTGACCAGGTCTTTATAAGTTCCTTCTTGGTTCTTTCCATTTAAAATCCAAGTCGAACCAGTCCATTCATTTTGACAACTGTCAGACGAGCAAGTCCAATTTGCGAGAACACGTTTGCAGTCCTTCTTTTTTGGGTTTACCATTTTAGTGGACGACACCTTCGTGGTGATGTTAATGGTTTAAGTATGAACCAAAGTCTTATTAAATGTTCATGGCCCCATTTATGACGGATCTTTTATTATATTTCTATTATTGGGGTTAGTTTGAAGATATAATGGGTATTATTTAGCCGCTGTGTGACAAATAATAGACTACATTCACTCACAATAACAATTCTATTTTCAAGGTAACACCCGTTTTTTTTAATTTCGATAGAGACAATTACATAATATAGAAGATTGTTGAGTTATATGTTCTGTAAAAAATAATGGTCAAGTGGTTAAGTCTAATATTTTAAATTTATTGAGACATAAAGATTTTTTTAATATGAAAACAGATACACAACATAATATTTTAATATATTGACAATTTGAATAATAACATAAGCATTAACGTACCATTAACAAGGGAATTTACGCCCTTTCGGCACGTGAACTAGGAATTATGACCGCTTGCTCATATTTATGTTATTCCGCCATTATTGTTACATGTTCAAAATATGATAAATATACGTATCTGAAGGTAGTAACATAACAACAAGACATCTACCAAAATTGTGAAATAAAAGGAGGTAAGTGTGGGAGGACGGTAAACAATATTTCTTTTAAGGTGGCGTTCAAGGATTCTGAAGGGAAGAGATTGTCGATCAGAAAACAAAAAAAAATTTACAAAACAAGGTATTACTTATTTAGTACATTACGTAAGTATTGTGCGTCAGACATGGGCGCAGCAAATTTCAATTAATCGTCCGATATTCAAAAATTTTGTAATCGCTTAACAAAAAGAAATTCGAAGTACTTTTACCAAAATTCAAAATCTATTAATATAGTTAAGTAATAATTTATTGCCGATTATATTTTATATCATGAATTCTTATGACTTGATGCAATTTCGATTTTTCGGTTCACGTAACATTGAAATTTTAAAATCGACGGGAGTTTATTAATGATTATTTTTTATTAATAAAAAAGTTTATATATAAATATTATGCCATCTGATTTGTCAATATTTAAGGGGAAAAGGCCGTGCAAAGTAAATTTTCAGATTCTGTGTTAGTTTACGAAAATTCAGGATTTTTTTTATAGTAAGATTTTATCATGTGACCTTACATAATAAAATCGGCATATCAGATTTTGTTTAAAAGAAAGCGGAGAAAGATGATTTACATAGATTTATCTTTATTTGTGTAATATAAGATTTATTTGTGTGATATAACATATGAAAAAGAAAAAAAAAAAAAAAAACCGGGTGACGGTGTCAATTTTAAAATTTTATCTAAATTTTCTTTGCCCGGCCTCCTATTATACGACAATCACATTTCATTTCAAAATCTTAACTCCGTCAAAGTGCCTATTATACATGTAAAAATAAGTTACAATTCTAAAGATTGGAAGGTTGATAAAGAACCAAAAATAAAGATTTTTTTTGGAAATATATCGATTCTATATTTATCACCTGACTGGTGGGGAGCAGATTTTGAAATGAAGTTTAACCCATCAAAAACATTAGTTGGAGAAAAATTTCAGCACAATTTATTGCTTGGGAAGCTGCATGAAATTAATGAGTTATAAGAAAGGAATTACATTACGATAATAAAATAAAGCTTTAATTTACCAATAAAATTACACTTTATAGTCACATTATAAACTTTTTATATATAAACTTTTTTTTGTTAAAATTTGAGAAAGTGACCCGGCCGGGTGACGTGAACCGAAAAATCAAAGTTGCATGGCCTTATCAGTGTTTGTGAAGAAATTAAAAGCAATAAATAAAAAAAGACATTCAACATCTTTAGAATTAATTGCTGCAATTATGAATTTTCAACCAAGACAGAAATAAAAAGTTTATTTAAGTAATTACAAACTGTTTTTGCTAAAAGCTACTCTATTACAGTGATTACTTAAATTCAAATTTAGAAACGAAAATAGAGCGTTTCATTTTTTATTTTTTAGAAATTCGTTACTAAAATATAAATAATATAAGTATGCTATGAATTTTAAATCAAAACCTACAAATATAAACATACCAGATAAATCTGCATAAGTATCTATTTGGAGAGAATCGCCGATTGAAGCGGAATCAGAATTACTATTTTCTATATTTTCAGTAAAATCTTTCATCTTTATGTTATCTATATATACATTTACAAAAAAAACAAAAAAATTAAATAAATTAATATGAAATAATAATAAGGATTTCTGAAATTTTAAAAAGTTACATACTTTCAGAAGATTTATCTACAATACTTTTTCCAAAGCCCATCTTCAAGAATTCTTCTAATACTCTTTTAATAGTTGGTCTTTGTTTAGGATTCTGATTCCAACATCTTTTATAAAGTTTTTCATAACTTTTGGGAGTACCTTTTATAGTAGTTTCACGAACTTTATAAATAGTAATGGCATTAATAAGATCATTATTATAACTAAATCTATCTTTAAATGGGGGATATCCACTAGAAATTTCCCACATTAATACACCATAACTATAAATATCCGAAGGTTTAATGTATTGAAAATTATTGTCTGCGAGTATTTGTGGTTCCGTATAGGCAACTTTACCAAAAAGTCCAATATGCATTGTGGAATTGTTTTCAATTTTTGAAATACCAAAATCTGTAATCTTGGCATTATTTTCATGAATAACTATATTTTTAGAATGCTAAAATAAAATAAATCATTAATAATTTTTTCTAAATTTGACAATTTTATCAAACAAAATAATAAACGAAACGTATTTACAAGATCTCTATGTAAAACATTTTCATTATGCAAATAATTTAATCCATCTGCAATTTGGAATGCTAATTTTTTTTTATCATTCCAAGTTAACGTTTCAAAATTATTCTCAAGGTAACTTTGAAGATTACCACCATTTGCATATTCCATTACAAAATAAAGTTCATTTGTAGTTTGATCTGTATAAGTAATTAATTTTTGAAAATTATTATTTTTTATTTTTTATTTTTTTTAAAAAATAAAGAATTCAAACTAAGCAATTACCTTGACTAATACCTAAAAAACGTATAATTCGATTACTATAATTAAGATGCATATGTATTTTTATTTCATAAATAAATGCATTTAATTTCTCATCATTACATCTAAATACTTTTGTGTTCGTTAATTTTTTATAAACAATATCATCATTTGTTTTTATCCAAGTTGCTTTTAAATCTTCCGAAACCTCCTTCTTCAAGTGGTTTTGAATAAATTAAGTCATCCAATGGTATGATTTTAACTTTATTCTTCAAGGATTTATTGATCAATTCAATTATATTAATACTCACTTTAATTTTTTTTTTTTTATAAAAATAGTTAGTATAAATAATATAAAGTTATGAAAATAAATATTAAAGTAATACTTACTTTTAACTGGTTCTTCTATAAAGTTAATGTTTGAGAATTCTTCTAATATTTCCATTATAGTAGGTCTTTGCTCAGGTTCTTGATCCCAACATCTTTTATAAAGTTTTTCATAATTTTCAGGAGTATTCGGTATAGTTTTCTCACGTGTTTTATTTATTATAGCATTAGCAATTAGTAAGTCACTATCATAATTTCTAAATGGAGGATAACCACTAGAAATCTCCCACATTAATACACCATAACTATAAATATCTGAAGGTTTAACATATGGAAATTTTAGATTTCTAAGTATTTGAGGATCTACATATGCAATTTTACCACATTGTTCCATATATATAGTAGAATTATTTTCAATTTGTGAAATACCAAAATCTGTAATTTTAGCATTATTATTATGAATAACAATATTTCTAGAATGCTAAATAAATAAAAAAATTTAAATAAATTAATATTATTAATATCTTAAAGTAAATAAATAAAGGAAATAATATTTACAAGATCTTTATGTAAAATATTTTCATTATGCAAATAATTTAATCCATTTGCAATTTGAAATGCTAATGTTTTTTTATCATTCCAAGTTAAATTATTAAAATTATTTTTAAGGTAATTTTGAAGATCACCACCATTAGCATATTGCATTACAAGTAGATATTCATTTGTATTTGGATCTATATTTTAATATTTAGTTAATAAATTATTATTTCTTTATAAAAAAAAAATAAAATAATGTATTATTTACCTTGACTAATTCCTAAACAGTGTATAATTTGATCACAATAATTAATATATAAATGAATTTTTAATTCATGAATAAAAGCATCTAATAAATTATGCTTAAGTGAGCTTGTATTTATTATTCTTTTATATATAACATAATTACCAGTTTTTAACCAAGTTACTCTTATAATACTTCCAAAACCTCCTTTATCAAGTTGTTCAGGATCAGTAAATTCATTAAAAGATATAAATTTAACTTGATTATTTAAAGTTTTATTAATAAATTCAATTGTTTTATTACTTTGATTTGTATTTAAATTAACTTCTTCATATTTTCCAAAGCATTTTTCAGATTTATTTGCATTTATTGCTAATCTTTGATACCATTCAGCTGCTTTTTCTAAATCCTCTTTAATTCCTATACCATGCTCATAACATTTAACTAAATAATATTGTGCAAGTTTATTTTCATTTTCTGCAGATTTTTGATACCAATAAAATCCTTTTTTAAGATCTTTTTTAATTCCAATACCATTTTGATAAAAATATCCTAATTTGTATTGTGCATTTTCATTTTTATTTTCTGCAGATTTTTGATACCAATAAAAAGCTTTTTTTAAATCTTTTTTAATATTTATACCTTCTTCATAAAAAAATCCTAAATTATATTGTACAAATTTATTATCATTTTCTGCTGATATTTCATACCATTTAAAAGCTTCAATAATATTTTTTTCAGTTCCCAAACCATATTGATAACAAGTAGCTAAATTGCTTTGTGCAATATTATTTTTATTTTCTGCTGATTTTAAATACCAATAAAATGCTTTTTCTAAATTTTTTTCTATATCTATACCTTTTTCATATAAGTATCCTAAATCATTTTGTGCATTACTATATTCTTGTTTAGCTGAATTTTCATACCATTCTAATGCTTTATTAATATCTTTATTAATTCCTTTTTCATAATAATAATAATTATCTAAAACATATTGTGCAATTTTATTTCCATTAATAGCTGATTTTTGATACCAAAAAAATGTTTTTTTTAAATCCTTTTAAATGTCTATACCATTTTCATAAAAGAATCCTAATTTATTTTGTGCATCACTATATTCTAATTTTGCAGATTTTTCATATAATTCAAATGCTTTAACTTTATTTTCTTTAATTTTCCATCCATTTTGATAACATTCAGCTAAATAATATTGTGCAAACTTATTTTCATTTTCTACAGATTTATGATACCAATAAAATGCTTTTTCTAAATCTTTTTCAATTCCCCATCCATTTTCATAACAATTGGCTAAATTATATTGTGCATTATTATTATTTTGATCAGCTGATTTTTGATACCAATAAAATGCATTTTTTAAATCTTTTTCAATTTCCCATCCATTTTCATAACAATTCGTTAAATTATATTGTGAATTATTATTATTTTGATCAGCTGATTTTTGATACCAATAAAATGCTTTTTTTAAATCTTTTTCAATTCCCCATCCATTTTTATAACAATTGGCTAAATTATATTGTGCATCACTATTATTTTGATTAGCTGATTCTTGATACCAATAAAATGCATATTTCAAATCTTTTTCGATTTCCCATCCATTTTCATAACAATTGGCTAAATTATATTATGCATTTGTATTATTACTTTCTGCTAATATTTGTAAAGAATAAAATGCTTCTTTATTACCATTTTTTACTGACTTTTGATACAAATCAATTGCTTTATCTATATTTTTTTCAATTATCCATCCATTTTGATAAAATTTGGCTAAACTATATTGTGCAATTTTATGATCATTTTTTGCTAATTTTTGTAAATAATTAAATGCTTTTTTATTACCATTTTTTACTGATTCTTGATATCAATAAAATGCATATTTTAAATCTTTTTCAATTTCCCATCCATTTTCATAATAAATAGCTAAATTATATTGTGCTTTATTATTATTTTGATTTGCTAATTTTTGATACCAATAAAATGCATTTTTTAAATCATTTTTCTCTCCCCATCCATTTTTATAATATTTAGCTAAATTAAATTGTGCATTTTTATTATTTAATTTAGCTAATGATTGATACAAATAAAATGCTTTTTCTAAATCTTTTTTAATTCCCCATCCATTTTCATAATAAATAGCTAAATTAAATTGTGCATTAATATTATTTTGATTAGCTAATTTTTGATACCAATAAAATGCTTTTTTTAAATCTATTTCAATTCCCCATCCATTTTCATAACAAATAGCTAAATTATATTGTGCATCACTATTATTTTGATCAGCTGATATTTGATACCAATAAAATGCTTTTTTTAAATTCTCTTTAATTCCCCATCCATTTTTATAACAATTGGCTAAATTATATTGTGCATTACTATTATTTTGATTAGCTAATTTTTGATACCAATAAAATGCTTTTTTTAAATCTTTTTTAACTCCCCTTCCATTTTTATAACAAATAGCTAAATTATATTGTGCATTACTGTTATTTAGATCAGCTGATTTTTGATACCAATTAAATGCTCTTTCTAAATTTACTTTAATTCCCCATCCATTTTGATAACAGTTAGCTAAATTATATTGTGCATCACTATTATTTTGATTAGCTGATATTTGATACCAATAAAATGCATTTTTTAAATCGATTTCAATTCCCCATCCATTTTTATAACAATTAGCTAAATTATATTGTATATTACTATTATTTTGACTATTAGATTTTTGATACCAATAAAATGCATTTTTTAAATCTTTTTCAATTCCCCATCCATTTTCATAACAAATAGCTAAATTATATTGTGCATCACTATTATTTTGATTATTAGATTTTTGATACCAATAAAATGCTTTTTTTAAATCATTTTTAATTTCCCATCCATTTTCATAACAAATAGCTAAATTATATTGTGCATCACTATTATTTTGATTAGCTAATTTTTGATGCCAATAAATTGCTTTTTTAAAATCTTTTTCAACTCCCCATCCATTTTCATAACAAATAGCTAAATTATATTGTGCATCACTATTATTCAAATAAGCTGATTCTTGATACCAATTAAATGCTTTTTCTAAATTTACTTCAATTCCCCATCCATTTTGATAACAGTTGGCTAAATTATATTGTGCATTATTATTATTTTGTTTAGCTGATATTTGATACCAATAAAATGCTTTTTCTAAATCTTTTTCAACTCCCCATCCATTTTCATAACAGTTAGCTAAATTATATTGTGCATCACTATTATTTTGACTATTAGATTTTTGATACCAATAAAATGCTTTTTTTAAATCTTTTTCAATTCCCCATCCATTTTCATAACAATTAGCTAAATTATATTGTGCATCACTATTATTTTGATTAGCTGATTCTTGATACCAATAAAATGCATTTTTTAAATCTTTTTCATTTTTATAACAGTTAGCTAAATTATATTGTGCATTACTATTATTTTGTTTAGCCGATTTTTGATACCAATAAAATGCATTTTTTAAATCTTTTTCAATTCCCCATCCATTTTCATAAAAGTTAGCTAAATTATATTGTGCATTATTATTATTTTGTTTAGCTGATTCTTGATACCAATAAAATGCTTTTTTTAAATCCTTTTTAATATCCCATCCATGATGATAACGTTCAGCTAAGTGATACTGTGCGTTACCATTACTCTGATTAGCTGATTTATGATACGGTATAAAATAAATACTAAAATTATATTATGTTTTATTAGTTATAAAATTTAAATTAATTAATAATAAAACTAAATAACTTACAATATATGAATATCATTGATTATTAAATAATTTTAAAAAAATTTAGTTAATTTAAATTAGTTAAATCAGAAAATCAATAGAAAGAACTTACAATCTATAATCATTTCAAGTTTAATTTAAAAAGATATATGGTTGAAGTATCATAAATATTTATTTAAATAAAGAATGTAGTTAGAGTCAATGGAAGATATTTAAAATAAATTATCGTCGCGGGTGTCACAAGTTTTTTTTTTGCATGTCATCGGGTAATGGAGTGGCACGTGTAACAAATATGACAAGCGACAACACAGCAAGTTATTTTTTAACAAACTTTAATCATGCTTACCGTCTTTATTGTCCTCATTCATTATGAGATCAAAAAAAAAAAAAGATTTTTTTTATTAATTTAACTTTTGGGCACAGATAAATAGGGCCCTGATTACAAAGATCCAACGTTGCGCTACACAATTTCCAAACTTGATTTTAGTTTAGTTTTGGCGTTTCACGATACCTTTCCTTTTATATTTTTCGATTTATAAGAAAAGAAAATTTCCTTCGTAGACACAACACACTTGTTTAACATAAATTTATCGAAATGTCATTTCGAGATGGTTTCTTTGGATAAATCAAACTACCCAACAAATACAACTTTACAAATCGTTTCATCAAACCTACAAGTTACAACCACCACATCATGTAAAATAACACTTCTTCCATCTGAAATATTAATACAAATTTGTTCATACTTAACTCCTTATGAATTACTTTTACTAAGTGAGACGTGTGTTAGATTCAAGAAATTTCTTGATGCACCAAAATCTTCTACTACACAGGAGATATGGAAAAATTCTAAGAAAGCGTTCGTGTCATCAGACGATGAGGATGATGATGACATGAACCCACCGGAAGGGATGTGTAAACGGGATTATTTTAAATTATTGTATTATAAGGAGTGCTCATTTTGTGAAAATAAGGATAAATATTTGGGTAGAATTTTTTGGCAATTTAAAGTTCGTTGTTGTTCAATGTGTTTAATGAAAAACACGATAAGGTATGGATGGCACCTTTTTTGTTTTCGCATTCTAAAAAAAAAAAAAAAAAATTATTTATTTTTGAAATTCCTTAACGTTAACTTTATTTCTTTCCTCCTCCCTTAAAAATATATTTATATATTTTTTAGCCTTCGAGAATTGTTAACGAAATATGTTGACATGCCAGAAAATTTGATCTTAACGATTCCATACATCTGTTATAATTATACGCATTACTTTTGGACAAACAGCATCAAATACATTTACATCAAATACCTTATCTATTTAAAATCCACCGCACTTCGTTCACCACAATTTCATTCATTCGTGGATTCCCTTAAATCGAATTTTGAATCCGTGATGAATTATGCTAGAGAAAAAGAACGAGTGCAAGAGAAAAAAGAAATGGAGTATAGAAAAAGATATCGAAGACCATTATTGAGTCGATTACAACGAATTAGTTTTAAAAGAATTGTATTTCCAATTTCGAGGTTAGAACGTGAAATGTTGAGAATTAAAGAAAGATTAACAACAAGAGAAAAATTTAAAAGTTTAAAGCAAAGATTTGATAGATTTGATGAAAGAACTTTCTTGGAAAATAAGCAAGTTGATAAACAGATATCACGCATCAAGCATAATAAGAAAAGGAGAGGTCAAAAAAATCAAAATGGTGAAACAATAAAGAGATGCAAAGATAATCGAAAGAAATTTTCACATAAATATGGATAAAGAATTTGAATATAAACTTTATTAACGTGGCGTTGTTAATACGAACGCAAAGATCTTATCACAGAACCTATACTCAATATACTAAATGTTAAAAAGGATTTTATTTGTTAGAGTTAAAGTAATTGACATTAAATAAAAAAAATATATATATATATATAGCTTTGTTTTCCTTTTTTTTTTTATTTTTTTTTTTTTTTGATACCCCTTTTTATTTTACATCGTAATAAGACCTTTTTTTTCGTTACGATACTGTGTACTGTTAAACAAATATTTCTCTATTTTCTTCAAATTCTTGTTTTAACTTCTCAATTGACATAGTTTCGATCTAAATAATATTAAAAAGAAAATTAATAAACTGACATTATCAAAAAGTAAAAGATAGAAAACGAAAAATTTACCCCTATCATTTCATTCTCAACAGACGGTTCGTAATTCTCATCAATTACAACAAAATGACGATATTTATCGTAATGAACTTTTATTAAACACTCCATTGAACCAAATGTAATTCTATCCGAATCCATATCATAATCTTCCAATGACTATATAACAACGGCAAAAAAAGATTAATGTCTCAAAGTATATAAAGAGAATATGATCATTTAGTAGATATTTATATTCACCATTTCATTTGGTAGCAAATATTTAATTTTACCAGAAATAAGTCCATCCACTATCCCTTTAAAAGCTTTTTCTAATCTATAAATATAAATAAATAAATAAATAAATTTATATATATATATAAAAATTAACGATCAATACATAATAATTTCTATATTTAACAATCAAGTAAAATTCAAGCATACCTTGTTTTCATGAACTCATTATCAGATAAAAAAGTCAATAATCTTTGAAGAAAACTTAAAATATTGGGATGAATCTTGAAATCCCACCCACTAACCTAAATTATAAATAAATCAATTAATTTATCGTTTACAAACAATAAATAATTTCAAAATAGTTTCAAGAAAACTTTACCGCATTTGTAAAGCTCAAGATTTTATCAACGATGTTATCAGTACACTTGATAGATACCGAAGTTAATAGAATAACCCCACCTAAGATTATCAAAAATAATAATCTTATTAATAAATTCAACATTCATCCTGATTGTTAATTATAGATTACTTGCCCATCTTAAAGATCTCTCGAAGTGTTAATGTAGTATCTTCTTTTATGATTAAGAAAAATTTAATACATTTGTATTTATAAATAATGTAATTTTTAAAAGAAAATCCTCGTGTGAGCTCATTTTGATGAAACTAAAATATATGAAATAAAATTTAACAATTTTCCGTGAGAAAATTTTATTAACAAAAAAAAAAAAAAAGCGAGGAAAAGTCTAATATTAACTTACAATCACACAATCCATACTAGGATCCTTTGCTAACACTTCATTTCCACCCATCTCTTTTAAGTAGGCAATTACTCTTTGACTTTCAACATACGTAGATCCAACAACAGTAAAGTTCAGACCATCAAATTCATTTAAATTAACTGAATATTTCACAGGCTCATTCGCAACAATGGGTTTAGATATCTCTTTAGGTATAGTATTCGTTGGGCGTACGGATTGTATATTTGGTAGCATGTTCTTTTGATGCACTTTAAACTGATCTATACCGGCATAACCTTTGTGTCTTTTAGGTGATGGAAATTGTATATCCATGTCATCCTTATTTTGATGAACACTTGCCTGCGTTGGGCGTGATGATGATGAAGGAACGCCGTATTTTTTTGTTGGAGATTGCAACTCCAAATTACTAGTAGTCTCATTATTTGGATTGAAACTTTTTTGAATAGGTCGACGTGGTGGTGATGTCGAAATTGGTGGTAAATTATTCCGTTGCGCTTCATGGTATGTCAACTGTTTAGTAGATTTAGAAGATTTGTACTTTTTTGTTGAAGAAGGCTGCGATTTCAAATAATTAGATAATTCGTTCTTTGGTAATTGAAGTACAAAGTAAAGATCATTAACATTACTTGGTCTATCTACACCAAGAAGTTCACTAGATGTTTCTGAAGTTGGTAATAAATAAAGTGTCAAATTTTCAATATTTATTACTCCAACCTAGTATGAATTAAAAAATTATTTTATAATTAGTTATAGAAAGAAAAAAACTGAATCATTATAAATAATTATACTCACCTTAAACCTTTTTAATAGAAAAGATTGAAGTCTATCCAATTCTGACATTTCATCTTTTATGGAAGTTGAAATAGTCACGAGATATATAGGGAATTTGTTAAATGAATCCTTAAGAAACCCTTCTAAATCGCTATACATTATAAATCGATTGATAACTAATTTGGATTGATTCCTATTTTTTTTTTTTTTTAAAAAAAAAAATTCCTTAATATCGCTCAAGTTCGTATAAAAATTAAAAATTAAAAAATTAATTAATTAATTCAAACTTACAAGCAAGGAAAATTTTCCATTGAATCCTCAGTATAATTTGTAATTTGTACCTTTCCTACATTCATTTCTTCTTCATTTCTTATCCTACATATAATTCCATACCATTTGGGTGGTTTATTTTTGAAATTAATTGATCGATCACCAGGTCCAAATGGAGGCAACCTTACTTCCAACGGCATTGTAACCGAGTTTGAATCATCCTTTTTCTTATTATGTGTATTATTCGGATAGGTATTATTCGACGCATCTCCTTTTGAAATTTTAAAAGCGGTGGGAAGACTGTATTTTGAACCATTAGAAAACTAGATAATCAAATATTAATTAATATCAAACGAGAATTTTTTTAAAAAAAAAAATTAACTAGAATTTGATAAATACCCTTTTATAATTAATCGTTTTTGCATCTTTTTTGGCAACTACCCTCTGATTACTGGATTTAGTCGTCGTTGATGAATCATCATCACGCTCGCCTTTCTTTAATTTATTCGGTTCTTGACGTCCTCTCACACCTAATTTATACTCGTGTAATTTTTCCTTACAATTATTCAAGTTTTGAGATGGTTCCCACGTTCTTTCATCATAACCTATAACAAAAGTTCTTTTTCAATACTTTAAACAAGGTTACCAATGTAGTAAATAATTGTATTGCTTTACCTTTCCATTTGACACGGTAATAGTTTTTACCATCTACATACTTATGGTTTTCTATTGCTTCTACTTCATATTCGTCCCCTGAAAGATCACTTTCTAACTTACGTTTTTTACTTTCGCTGTTGTCTTCAGCTCTACGTTTTTTATTATATTCCATTTTTACCTTTCGCGAAATTTTTGGCGCAAAGGTACCAATTTCCGCATTTATGCATTTTGGAAATGATCAGACGCACAACAATATACTCGGTTTGATTGGTTTAACCCTAATTAAAAACTTGTTCGATCATCCGGCTTTCTTTAACTAGCGTTTTGTAATTTTTATTAATGAGATAATTAGGTTTAATATGTTATTAAATTTGTTTTTGATTTTAATTTATGATTGATTTACTTAGATCTCAAGAAATTAAAAAATACAAACACGTCACAATCAGCCAACAAAAACTTTAAAGCATAATAAGCTTAATAATATCTTGATTTAGAAATCAGATAATGCGAAGACCAGTGCAAATGACAAAAAAAAAAAAAAATTTCGAAATAAAATTGATAAATTAATTTCACATGCATGCTTCTCTTTAAGCGCATATGTATATATTGGGAGCAAGACCGAAAAATGCTAACAGAAAAGACAATTAGCATATAATAATATTAAACCATTAAAACAATATGTTAATGTATAATTAGAACGATATCGGGCTATGCTGATGAATTGATGATGAGTTTAATATGTTATGATTTCTTATGAAATCATCATTAGAGGTGAATTAATAGAAGAAAAAAGGCAACGAGTCTATCTTAGTTATCGGCCCATCTAGAAATTTACTTGTAAAATTTCGACTTTAAATGCTTTACAATGAAATGATTAAATAAATTTTAAGCATGTTCGAGTAACATGAATGATCGGCACAATTAGCGTATTGGCCAAAATGGGAACCATTCGATCATTTCCTATTTTGATACTTGGTTTAAAAGCTTGTTGGCCTAATTTCTAATGCTTTGACAATCATAACAATCACGATTTCGTTGATCAAAAAACCTTAGTTCGCACTCTTTCATTTCTACGGTAGCTCGAATAGAGCAAAGTGATAGTAATAAAAATTAGATGAAATTTACCTTTCTTTAACGTTACACTTATACCTTTCGCATATTAATATAATAATTATAAATTTTCTTGTAGAAATCTTGCTGCGTCGAAAATCCGTATTGACCTAAAGTCATCCACTGTAGTATGAGGATTGTAATCAAGCTGACGAATTCACTGGCGTCACTACAATATTTGTGTGCGAAGGTAGAATAACAAAAGATATATTATCTGATCCTTGTCGATGATGATTATTGATGCTATGCTTCCTAATTTGACTCAAGATGAACTTATGGATCAACTATTAGATCTGCTAAAAGCAATTGAGTTTGGTTGAAATACCTATGCCGAAAAGCACGTAAAAATGAAGAATTTGAAGTTTAATTGTAGAAGAATGCAGTAGCGGAATCATTGCTTGGCCCAAAATTTAAATATCAAATTCTTTTGATGAGAGAAATTATGAACGATATTGGAATTACAACTGTGGTAGTAATTAATTTCTTTTATCACGTTTCTTATCACTCATCAAGTAACAAATGTCCCAATAAATGCTTTATTTTCTCCAAATATTCTTTTTCTCTTCTAGAACAAAAAAGATTAGCGCAATACAAGATCACGTGTGAAATTTATAGCGTGATCGTTGCATAAGTGAACAAGTACGATGCCGATCTTATCAACAATCAATATTTGAAAAAATGTTTCTTAGATCTCTTTCTCAAAAATTCAATTCACCTTATATTAAAAATATTAAAAATTATGCTACAACGGCAAAGCAACAACCAGAACCATCAGTTTATATGGTATTTAATCGAGAAATGAAAAGAATACAAAGGGATCGTGCTTCGATGGATGTTGAAAATAGTAGGCAAGTCGATTATCTTAAAGATGAAGTCGCTTATAGAATCGTTGATAGGTTGTTGGTAAAATCTTAAAATAAATCTCCCTTTAAATGAATTTCATAATTTATAACTATAATTTATATTTGTTTCAGGACATTAAAAGAAAATTTAATACAATTGTGGATTTAGGTAGTGGGTGCGGGCATATCATCAAGCATGTTGATAAAGACATGATGAAAAGGTTAATGATGTGTGATATGTCATCAAAAATGTTGGAAAGAGACAGATTTGTCGATTATGATGTTGAAGTTGAGAGAATTGTCGTTGATGAAGAATCATTACCTTTTGAAGAGAATTCTTTGGAAGCAGTTTTAAGCAATCTTTCTTTACATTGGGTCAACGATTTACTTGGTACCATGATTCAGATTCGTAAATCATTAAAACCCGATGGAGTATTTATTGCATCAATGTTTGGTGGTGATACATTGTTTGAACTTAGAACATCAATGCAACTCGCAGAGTTGGAAAGGGAAGGTGGTATTTCACCTAGAGTATCTCCAATGACTGAAGTACGAGATGTTGGAAGTTTATTGTCTCGTGCGGGATTCACTTTGACTACTATAGATATTGATGATATTACTGTGAATTTTCCTAGCATGTTTGAGTTGATGAATGATTTGAGAACCATGGGTGAAAATAATGCCGTATTGACCAGGAGACCATTCCTTAAAAGAGATACAATGATATCCGCCTCTGCCATTTATCAAGGTAATTTTAAAACGTTTTAGAAGATATTATTTAAAAATCATCTGAATTAATTTTTTTTTAAAAAAAAAAAATTGATTTTGATCTCAAAGAACTTTACGGAAATTCTGAGTCAATTCCTGCAACTTTTCAGGTAACATGATCATAGGGGGTTTTTTTATATTAATTTTTTTATAATCAAATCTTAAATTATTCTTTTCTTTTTATTTCTTATAATAGATAATCTACATGGTAAGTTTGACGTTTTATAACGATGTCTTTTTAGGTCACGTTAATTTATTTTGATCCTTAATCTAGATTGGATGGAAACCCGATATTTCACAACCAAAACCTTTAACTAGAGGATCGGGTCAAACATCATTGAAAGAGATATTTGAAGGTGATAAAGGTGGTAAAGTTGATAATTAAAAATTTGATTTGATGTATATAGTTTTTTTATTTATATCTTTACGAATGATATCATGGTCTGGATTCTCGTTTAAATTCTTGTGGTAGACATTTTAAGGAAGAAAGATTCAAAATATTAGATTACTCCAACTTAGTAAATCAAAATCTATTCTAAATATCATTAATATTTGTAAAAATAATCTTGTAATAAATTTATCTTGTTGAAAACGTTAATGCATAAAACTTAAAAACAATAGATTATTATAAACAAAAGAAGGTCTCTTTTGAAACGAATTAAAATGTAAACACAGAAGTCTTAAAGGAAGAGCCATCATAATTAGATAGGTGTACCTTTAATAATAAAAATATTTGATTTGAATCTGAATGTTAGAAAAGCTTTACAGATTTATCAAACCAAGTAAAATTATACTTTAGGATAATAAGATGGGAATCCTTGACTTATTTCAAAAGATAATATTAACCTCTTATATTTGCAATTAATTTCGTGCTTAGACGATAAGGCTATACAACTTTTACCAAGGGGTGGATTATAATAGACAAACGCGTTATTAATAATCTATCAACCTAAATGAACTTTAGAACTTTTTTATTGTTTTTTATAGTTCATTCCGCATACTGTATACGTTGTATTTTGTATAATAACGATTTAAACCGTAATGGTTTCCGCTTGAACCAGTTAGCATTTTATGAAGAGAGTGATTCATACCGGTTCCATAAAGAAACTAATCATGAAAAATTTTCCATAAAGTCTACTAGTTATGGAGGAATATTCGATTATGTGTTACTCCTATTTGCAAACAAACATGACGGAGGAAATATTTAGCAAAATACAATAATTTTTTACTATAGAATGATAACAAAAAAAAAAAAAACGGTGATTTATGTTCAGTATTATATGAAAACGGTAGATAAGTTTAAATAACAAGGGTTGGCTAGAACGAGTCGTGATCTATCGATTTCATTATTATTCATTCTTCGTTCTTCAAAAGGTAAAGAAATAAAAATAATCAAAATACACGTAAAGGTAAATTGGAAACTCCTTAGCTAATTAATTCATCTATGATTACTATCTTGGAATCAGAAAAAAAAAAAAAAAACTACTGTATATGAGCAGGGTTGAAATATCCGGATCATTTCGAAAAAGAAAATTAGTCAGCAGAGGAGGTTGGTTTAAAAAGCTTATTAGTAATTCGACCTAACAAAATGTACTTATAAACGGTCATGAAAAGGTTATAACAGTGACCGATTTCGGTCGGTCATAGACTTCTGACCAATCGGTTGACCGACTGATTTTGAGGGTTTGACTGTCTTAACAACAATCATTTCAATAATGTATTTTTTTATAGAAAATTATAGAAAATTGTCTTAGTAAACACGGGGTGTATGAACACGGGTCATATGAAATACATATATATATATAAACTTATGATCGTTTAGCAGATTAGTTTGCTATTTATCACGCCGCATCACACTTGTTTCGTTTTTACTAATTAATCTGGGAACTTACTAAAATTAATTTTTTACTAAAAATATTATTTCTCACCATCTCATGTGTTCACGACCCGTGTACGATTAGAAATTGCCTTAATATTAATAAGACAAAATGTTAAATTAACCATTCGGTCGATCAAAAGGTTTGACCATCATAACAACCGTTACCCATCCCTACGTATGACGTGACTAATTAACGCTTTTCTCAATTTTTTTTTTTTTTTTTTTACCTTCTCCAAGCTCTCTTTCATGCTTTTACTGCTCTCCTTTCCCAAAATGGTATCAAGTTAAGCCTTCTATTACTACAAATGAAGAAATACATCACTTCGAGATTTTCAAGTTCAAACGAACATGACAATGTAAATTTTTTTTAATGCATTTTTAGATAAGCTAAAAATTATATGTTGTATTTAATACAACCCAAGAAGGAAGAGAAATCCGAGTTGAATATTTAAGGAAATCAGAATTTTCATCATTATTATTTCTATAATTGTTTTAATATAAAATTTCGTATTTACTATTCTTATTTATAAGCAGATAAGAAATTCCACCTGTATATACATAATACCGATGGGAATCATAATAAAAGCTCCTCATATAATATTAAATAAATAAATATTAAATAATTTTATTTATTAACGCTTATAACTTCATTTTTTTTTTAAAAAATAAATAAAAACAATCAAATAGATCTATACATTATTTAAAGGGAGATCCCATTTTCTTGTAAAAATGTAGTTGCTCTGGGATCACCATTTAAGGAAGCGATTTTAAGATAATTAATTCCTTTTTCTTTAGTTTTTTTAGATTTACCTTTATAATACATTTTTCCTAAATTGAATAAAGCTGAGATATTATCATTTTCTGCCGATTTGGTTAAATATTCCAAAAAAATTTTCTTATCAGAATCTTTAAAAGCCATGGCATAGTTAAATTGAGCCTCAGCATTACCAGCATCCGCTGCAATTTTATATAATCTTGTAGCCTCTTTTCTGTCTTTTTCGACGTGATATCCCTCCCATAAGTAATATGCTTTCCAATAAATTGCTGTTTTATCACCAAATTCCGCGTGAGCATTAAAACAGTCCCAACATTTTTTACATTGTTCTTTTGTTCTTGATTCTTTATTTTTCCTTGCATGAAGTTCAATTCCTTTGTTTAGAGGCAACAATTCTACTACTTCTTCATCATCATCGTCATCCTCAAGATTTAACTCCAAATTTTCATCGATTTCAATATCATATTCCGTATCAGAAATGTTTCGTGAAATTTCCAAGGATGTAACGGTGACAGTTTTATTTTGCTCACAAGGGACCATTGGACTAATTCCCTTGTTAGAACGGGATTTAACCAATGATTCAAGGATTCTGGCAACGGCTGGATCTTTTGGACGGATCCGATGGTCTTCTTGCCATGCTAATGTGATAATTTTGGTAAAACCTTCAATAATATCACTTGGACCTTTCTCAAATTCCAAAGTCTCTCGATTTCCTTTGAGAACATATTCTTCTACGCCTTCAGGTTCAAGATTTTCATATGGAATTCTATTAAAAGAAAGTTCCCAAAGGAACATTCCAAAACTGTACGTTTCGCACGCATAGTTATATGGATTTTTTGTGTTAAGTTTTTTAAGTTTTTCTGGTGCCATCCAACGAACTATTTGTAGAAGGTCCGAGATTTCACGAGATTCGGTATTAAATTCACGACTGAGATTAAAATTAGATATTTTGCACTTATAACCACTAGTTACCTAACAAAGACAAAAAAAATATATATATATATATTATCTTTTTAACATAATGATTAAATGATGATAAACCATGAAACGAACCAGCATATTTTCCGCCCTTACATCATGGTGCAAAATACCTGTTATAAAAAGTAAAAAAAAAATTTAGTAAAATTGCGGAATTAGAAATTCCGAACTTTTCGGAAAAAAAACTTACCAATGGCATGAAGGAAACCAAGGCCTTGAAAAACATCTCTTGCAATGTTTAATTTGATATCCCATGAAAGTTTATGATGTTCGTAAACATATTTTAAATTATTTAATTCGGCCCATTCCAAAATCAAACAATCTCCAATATCCAATTTTGAAATCCCATAAAATTTAATCACGTTAGGACATTCATGTAATTTATTCCAAATAGACAAAGTATTACGAATCTTTTTTGAAACAGGAGTATCATCTTGGATAGATTCAATTTTTTTACATGCCACATCAAGATTTTTATATTTCCTCAATTCGATATCTTCATGAAATTCGGAATTTTCCGGAAGTGAAATATCATTTGGATGAATCTCTGGTGGTCTTAAATCATCGAGAAGCTTATCATCTTTAGAAGTATTTTTATCTATACGTTCAACTAATTTAGTTAGAAAAGAAATATTTCCTCCCATATTATTAATAGTTTCATAATGTTTTTTATATTCTTCTAATTCCAATTTAAATTCAATATCTTCTTTTTCACGACTAATAATATGATCAATGGATATAGCAAGGTCCAATAACTTATAAGCATTATCAAACTCATCTCTTATTTCATTAAATTGATTTGTAACCGCATTAGCAATAAAATATTTTTTAAGCCCTTTTGTCCCAGAAATCTCTGCAACAAATGTTTTAATATGTTTTAATACCCCAATAAAATAAACCAATGCATTTTGATAACTCATTTGTCGTCGAACTTTATTGTTATCATCATTCACGTGTCTTTTCAATAGTTTTATTGACGTCATTGCCAAATCTACCTAAAATTTATTAAAAGAAAAAAAATTTTATTTTTTTTCGTTCATTCTTTAGATCTTAAAAAAAAAAACAAAAACAAAAACAAGCATCACTTACCCTATCAGCCATTAACCTGCAAGTCTTTTCATTGTATTTTGCATTTTCATGAATTTTCATAATTTCGTCTGACAAGCTAATGATACTTTCTAAACACGGTACAATTTTTGCAATTTCCGCAGATGTCTTCAGAATCTTCATTCCATTAACCTTGAAACATTCCTTGTTGGACACTTTAAATTTTGACATCTTATTAATCATTCTGAGACCTTTAGTTTTATCTGATTTAATTTTGCCAGGTTCGACGTTTATTTTGGGTGAACTTTTACTTAAAAGATGCATTTTGTTCGGACCTGCGAACGATTTTAAAAGGATTTTTTTTTTAAAAAGATAAAATGAAATTATGTAGATGTTTATGTTATTTTTTTTTTTTTAATAATAAAAATTATTCTTAAAGATTTCAAGATATTTATAGTTTGAGATTGATAGCAATTTATGAACCTTGTCATTTCCTTACAAGGGAACAAACAATGATCATTTGTTTTAATTCCTTTTTACAAACGCAGACAACGTCTTACATTGTCAGGAGGCGGACAATCAATAAATATGTATCTCATTTTCCCTACAAGGAAACAATTAAACGCATACAATGTCCTGCATATTTGTTTTGGAGTTCTAAATATTTTTAATAAAACTTTATTGGTGCATTCAGATCAAAAGCGTTAAAAATTATAATTTACTTTCTAACCAAATTTGAATGTTCGTTTCCAAAAAAAAAATAAAATAAAGAAAACCTGAAACACCCTTGTTTCCAAATTCTTTTTAATCTCAGATTTAATAATTCTGAACGCCCCTCGAATTTTTATTTCATGATGATTACTTCATATGAACCGTATCCCCCCCCCCCCGTAAGCTTTTTTAGACCAAATTGGATTGTGCACAATTAATTATTCATCAAATTTGCTCAACATTTTTTTGTTTAAATTTATTCCTTGCGGTTTTAATATTAAGTAAAACCTTTTCGAATAAATTTTCTTTAATCCTTTTTTCATAAAGTAAGTATGAATGATCAATGTGGAGATTCTCTTAGAATATCTCGAATTAAATATTGGTACTACTTTTTCTTTTTTCGTGGTGTAAAAAAAAGTCATTAGCAAGATATCATGTGAATTACGTTTTTTTTTACTATTTTATATAAATAACATTACTATAGACGCGAGTACCCAAATAACATATAAAAGACGCGTTATTTTTTTAATTTTTTTTATTAAACATTTAAAATATTAAATAATTGTAACTTATAATTATACAAATTGTTTTAAAATTATACTTAATTGTGTTAAAGAATTGTAAAAAAAAAAAAAAAAAAAAAAATTCCTGCACTACATATACTTAATATCTAATATGTATTATTGATTAGTATAGTATCTACAAAATACCTAGGCCTAGCTAGAAGTTTAAAAATACAATCTATAACTTAAGCAAATTATTTAAATAAAATATATATTAATTAGTTGATTAATTATAATTATCTTTATTTATTCAATGAATCCTCATCATTATTATTATTACTATTAACTTTAGTGGGTTTTAATGGTTTCCAATTTATATTATTACCTTTTGGAACGGAAAATTAAAGTCATTGAAGGAATATGAATTTAATAAAATTAATCATGATTTAAACTAAAATAATTTACCTGTTTGTAATGTAATCGGAACAATTGTATTAGAAGTAGTAGAAAAATCTATTAACTGATTATTATTATTATTATTATTATTATTAACATTTTTTGGCTTAATTGATGATGTACCTAAAAATCAAATAAATTAATAAGTAAAGACTTCATTTTATATAAATATAAAAAAGTTAATTATTTACCTAAATTATCCTCAAAGCTTGGTACACGTGTTAAAAATTCTTCATCCTCCTCCAAAAATGGGTTTGATTTATTATTAGACGTAGACCTTTGATTTGAACTTATTGTCTTCGTAGTATTTTTATTATTAGAATTTACATTATTATTAACGTTATTACCATGGTTCGTTTTAATTGGAGTTAATATATTAGAGGTTAATGAATTGGGTTTCGGCGGAGGAGGGGGGATTGTTTTTTGCACCAAGTTTTCGTGAAACGGATTGCTCGAAATATTACGGAATTCCTTATCAATATCATGCTTATCGACAATCAGAGATGTTTCAGAGGAAGAGGAAGCTTTTGTTCAATAAAAAAAATATAAAAAAAAAAAATGTGAATAGTTGATTCTGACGGAAAACATTATTATAAAGTTTTTATTTAAACTTGATTTACCTGAATCATTTATCCACCATTGATGTGTCTCCGAACTTGGAGGAGGCACTAATAAAAATGAAATTAATTAAATAAATAAAGTAAAAAAAAAAAAAAAAAAACCGCAATATATTTATAGATACTAACAATTTTCTTCCTTTCTGTTGTTTTTACCGTCAAGATCGATCAAAACACCAACAACAGGTTCAACTTTGTTTTCTGCAAGTTTCTTTTTAATAATTCCATTACCAAATTTATCCCCTAGCAAAGGATTGTTGACTTTTCTGACATTCTTTGCTACTTTATTCCATGAGCCTTCGTCATTTGACGAAGTGTTGGGATTGGCTTGTGATACAAGCTTCAATTTCTCAAAATATAAATCTCTTTGTATCTTTTCTTTAGCGGCTTCATCATATTTGATTACCTGATAGATGAATATTAATGAGCTAAACATATTCACATAAATAGAAAAAAGCAAAAAAAACGGGAAATAGGTTGTGGGCTTACTTCAATATCAAATGATGACATTACTAAAGAATGGAAAAATTATCAAGTTATGGTAAGACGTATAAATTATAAAAAAAATTAATAACTCCGACAAAATTCGAAAATATATTACCGGGTCGATGGTCTGACAACCTTATTTCTGCTCGTGAATATCCAATTTGCTGAATCTTATTACCAGAATACAGGATTCGATCTATTCAACAGGAATAGAAATGTATGAAAACTAAGAAAAAAATATAGTTGAAATCAAATACAACTACGACTAACCGGTCCAAGCCGGGACCCGAGCCTTCTCGCTAAGAAGATACAAAATAAATAAATTACATGACCATAATATTGGAAGATATTAAATGAAATTCATGTACCTTGTATCATAATTATCGGTGCCATTATCAAATTTATAGGTTGGATAAAAAGTTATAGGACCTTCTATGTATTCGGTAAATGACTGACCCCATTCGATTTGCTTTGTTAACTACAATTAACACATAACATGAGCTATAACTTCCTTTTTAAAATAGGTTAAAATATTTATAAAAATACTGTATAAAGATAATTACCTGATCGGCCTTTAACAGTTTATTAAAGTTATTATCTGCTATGAGGTTTCGAACCTAGGATGGAAAAGACAAATAAGCATATTATACATAAATATAAACTAAATCAATTTGGTATAAAAAATTACAAATACCTCCTCGTTGCCCAAGGATATTCGATAATTGAAGTCACCTAACCAGATAATGATTCTACATAAAAATAAATAAAGGGATATTTAATATTCGGTATAACAATAAACCTTCAAAAAATAAATTATAAGATTCTTACTCATGATGTTCAAGACGACGACCATTTCTGAAAAGCAAGCCATCGTGTATAGTTTTGTAATCTCTATTTCTTTCTTCCCAATTCGAATGCCCTAAATTAATTAAATAGTTATATTAAAAACAAATAAATAACTAATTGATACATAAATATGAACTTAACTCTATTTCTTACCAGAAGCTAAATGTGCGGTAACAAAACACATACTCGTGTCATGGTAATCAAGACGAATAGCAACAGCTCCTTTATTTCCTGCCATCCCACCCAATCCAGTCTGCAATATATTAACGAAATTTTCAATCTGAATATCTAAACGAATAATTAAATAAAAAAGTAGAAAAACTAACTTTTTTCATTAAATATTCCACATTACGTATATTGGATACTATATCTGATCTTGCATATATAACAAGAGCTGTTCCAACAAGTTGGCCGGATCTCAAGATGACATAATCAGAGCGTTTATTAGGTCGACGTTCTAGTGTTTCGCTTATCTCTTTTTCCCAAATTCGTCTAATAATACATAATCAACTAAGTTAACCAATATAAAATCATTAATATTTTAAATAAATATTACTCACAATTTTTCAGGATCTGCTGAAACAATCTTTTTATATTTAATTATTTATTATTTATTTTAAATTTTAAATTAAAAAAAAAGGTCAGAAAATATTCAACACTAACTCTTAACTTGCAAACCGTAAAATAAATACCTGCTGGGGCATCAGTTCAACAATCTCTTGAAACCCAATAACATAAAGTTCGGGTTCTGGATCATCTATAATTATATGAATAAGAAAATAAATTTACCAAAAATATTACAGGTATTATTAAATTTTATATAAAAATTTTACATACGATAGTCAAAAGCAAAAAGCCAAGATGACAATGACTCTCCATGTGGCAAACGTCCGTTGAGATTATATGAACCTACGAATACATTTATTGAAGATTTCGTTGAAAAGTCGTTTGTCCTATAAAGTAACAAATTATAATAAATAAATAAAATCATTTAATAAATAAATAAATTAATTAATTAGGCACGATTATATACCTTTTTTGCATATCCTCCAATACTAATTCGTGAACAGGGTCGTGTATCTCGATTACTTTTTGATACATTAATTTTCCCTGTAATTAATGAAGAATTAAGTCAAAGAATATACAAATTTAAAAAATAATTTTTTGAAAAAGTTACTTACAAGTAGTAAATCGATAACTTCTTGTTTTGACTTATCTTGAAAGTTATTAATATAAAACCTATTTACAGACTTGGTCGCATCTCCAAGTACGCCTGTAAAATAACATACAAATCAATATCCAACTTGAGAATAACTAATAAAAAAACTGTATACAACAAGTACGATTACCTGACCAAGTAAGCTTTCCGCTACGGGTAAACTCCGACTTAAGAGCCCCTGTTCCTGCATAAATTTTTGACAAACTGTCTCCGTTTTCGGCCCATAAGTAAGAATGTCGAGAAAAGAGACTGTCCGTGTCATATCTCGTGAAGGACAATATTTGTCGAAGATACAAGTCCAATATAGTTTTCGAAATAATTGTTTGAACAACATTGGTTCTGATAAAATTATAATTGTTTAATTATTTTAGTTTTTGTAAATGTTTAAATCAAACATTGAAAAAAAATTATACCTGTCCAAGCTAATATGATCCGATATAAAATGGTAATCAAAATTAATAAACTCTCAACATCCAAACAAATTTAAAATTATCAACGTACCAATCCACACAGTTCGTTCTAAAAACACCCTTTTGATAGAATATGGGCGAATTCGTTTCCTTATCCAACACAAAAAAATTAAAAAACTCCAATCTTTCTCGAATTTGGCTTAACAGTAAGGAGACGTTGTCATAACTTCCATTCTTACAAACAGTATGGAAATCGAAATTTGTCATGCGTACACGATTCTCGATGCCGTTTCCATTTAGACTATCAATACGCTCTTTATATTCTTTACTTAAAACTGATTCACCCTCTTTTATGCCAAGAAGGTTGATTACATCTACATCACCATATCTACTCTGTAATTCATTAAAATGGCGTTCGACTGCTGGTTGTGTCGCTGCAGGTCCACGAGAAATCTGAATTTTGTGCGACATAACTTGGAGACCCTATATATTAAATGAACAATAAGTACCACTATTGCTAAGTATATAATTAAATAATATTGAATGAATTACTTGTTGTTCCCAAAATACTGTTTTAATTAATAATAAATATTATATATTAGAATTAATTAGATCTAAAAATTAATCAGATAAAGTCAATTTCTTTTCATACCAGGAACGCTGCCACGAATTTGCACATACGAGAAACAAGTAGTAGGCATTTGCAAGATGGTTTCGGTCTAAAGAAGGTTAAATTAGAAGATCAATATATTGTGATTCTGATGAGAAATTTTGTATTCAATGCATAGTAAAAGGTTGCCGTGCTAATTTTCAATGCAAACATCCATAAATTAATAAAAGACTTACCTCTACAAAATTCGCAACTTTCCCATCGTCATCAATTCCGCGAGTGTTGTACCGCGTGCCTAAAAATTAAAATGATTAACATTTTGAACAAAAATACGAAAAAAAAACAAAAATGATTTAACATACCAGCACGTTTACAACTTAATTTAGATATAACTGATAAAGATACTGGCATTGACCCCATAATTGTTTCTTGCCTGCCGATATATCCTTGAATGGCAAGTACCTAAGATTGAGAATAAGTTTACTAACAATATAAAATGTAACTGTATATGCCAACACGTATACTAACCAAAAATCCACAACGATCCATATCTGCCTGATTTGATTTGCTTAGTTTGGATCGAAAATTCAATAACTCTTTAATCATATATTTATTCCATAAGAAATTATCATCAAAAGAATATTTATCTGCTGCTGTCATCGTTATTCTATAGGATCAAATAATGTTAAATTCTTCGGTAAATTGTTTAAACACAAAATATTAAATAATTCGTACCTTGCGGCCAAAGTTCTTGTAAGATCAAAATCTGATGAAAAATAGAAATGTCCATTTGATAATAACTTTTTGAGTGGTGCACATAGATTTATGTAATTTTGTACAGGTTGTTCACTTTGTGGACTCAATATCCCATCCTCATCATATATTCGAGTGGAGCTATATGATGCATATGAGTTTGACACAGAATCGTAAGAACTGTTTGTGAGTGAATAAAATTCTACGTCTGATATTCGATGCACTGACTCTCCCAGTCTAATTTCTCCAATATGCTGGCAATCTGTTACCACTGCCATAAACATATCTTAAAATCCATACAAAAGTCGTATTTATTACAATATAGAAATTTAATTAATTATCTAATAAAACAATTTATTGACTACAAAAAATCTTGCATACTATAAATACCTTTTTCAACTTGGAGTAACCCAAGACAGCCATATACAGGCCTTAGACTAAGCTGTCGATATTCGCTTTTATTAAATTCGGTGTCCTTTACAAGTGTGACATTGCATTGAGGACGTTGGCGGTCATAGGTTATATGGGTATTTTCAAAGACTAATGCTGAATTAGATACGTCTGAATTCGAATGGTAATTATGAGAGGGCTGCAATGCAAGTGCACGAGGAGAGTCCCGAACAAGCAAAACGCATTGCATTATGAAATTCTCAACGTTAAATACAAAATTTAAAATTGATGTAATTTTTCGTTTATTTTATAACTGTCAATGTAAATTTAACCATTTTGGTAAGTCGTGGTGCGTGATCGGGCTTCATATTTGGTAACGAATCAAATCATTGAAAGGGAAACCACGTGAGAATTAATACATGCATACCCGATTCTTGTGAATTTATTTAGATTTTTAACAAAATGACAGGAGAAATTGAAACAACCGAAAAACAAATTACACACGTGCCAACGACCTCAAATGAGCAGTTATTTGAAAATTTATTAGGAACATTTAATGAAGAGGTAATTTTTTTTACCTATTACCTTTTAGTTTTGATTACACTAATTTTTTCTTTAATTATTAGGCATTTATTAATGATGAAAATATACCTGATGATAGTTGGGAAATTTCTTTCGATGAAGTGGATGGTATTTAATCATTTTTATGAACTATTATATTATTATTATCTTGACTCATTAACTTGATACAAAAAGCTAAAATATAATTATATAAACTTTTTTCTAGACCATATATCTTTATTTCAGGAAGATGAATTCGTTCGTGAGGCCTTTGCAAAAGTATGAAAATTTTTTCAACAGCTCATTTCTTTTTTAATTTTTTGACTTAGTTTAATTATTAGGGAATGGATCTGCGAGAATATGCTAGAAACATCGAAAAAGAATTAAGTGGAATTGAAAGAGAACATGAAGTTGATTGTATCTTTTTATAATATATGTCGATTTATATTCAATATTTTCGAATTCCACACCAAATCCTTAACTACATTTACCTTATCTCAAGATATTAGTCAAGCAAAAAATTTTGTAGAATTACATAACCAAATTCAGGTTTATAAAATTTATTTTTTATTTAATGAATTACTTTCTGAATATTAAATATGAATTATGACTAATGATTTAATGTTAATAGTCCTGTGATCAAATATTAGCAACAATGGAAGATATGCTAAGTGCTTTTCAAATGGATTTAGGAAATATAAGTTCAGAGATTCTAACTTTACAGACCAAATCAATTTCGATGAATATCAGGCTTAAAAATCGAACAGTAAGTTATAATGTATAACCGGTATTCTTTTCTAAAAAAGAATCTATTTATATATTTATTTTAATATTCTAGGCAGTTGAACAAAAATTGAATACTGTTTTGGAAGGGACTGTTATTCCTCCGCAAATGATCAAGTAATAATATATTATTTTGTAAATTTATTAGATCATTTCTATGTCTTATACTAAATTGTGTCTTGTTTAGAAAAATTACTGAAGGGGACGTTGATGAAGTTTGGCTTTCTTATTTAACCGAATTAAATAAAAAGATGACTTATGTCAAACGCAATCAAAAAAAGAATGTTAAAGCAATCAAAGATGTTGGACCAGAATTGGAGAAATTACGATTAAAAGTATGATTTTAGCTTTATTTTCTATTTAAAAATCGGAATTGATTAAATATATACAAATTGAATTTTAGGCAACCGAAAAAATACGGGATTTCCTTTTAACAAAAATTAGGTCGCTTCGTATACCTAATACTAATATTCAGATTTTACAACAATCAATTTTGTTAAAATATAAAACACTTTATCAATTTTTAATGGAAAGATATAGTGATGTTGCTATAGAGGTTATGCATACTTATGTTAACACAATGCGTTGGTACTTTTTCAATCATTTTGAAAGATATAATAGAGGACTACACAAATTACAGGTAATTGAAATGTTTGAAATATTTGAATCTTGATATTTAAAGCTTATCATTATTATTATTATTATTTTAGAGTCCAATCGCCGATAAATATGATATGATGGGTTATGATGAGAGTGTTCGAAAAGGTATTTATTTTATATATATTTACTTTCTCAAATGAAAAGGTTTAATATTAATGTTTCAATTTTGCAGTTGGTCTTTGGGGAACTGGAAAAATTGCCCTACAAGATAAAGCAAATATTTATATTTTAAAGGATAGAATTAAAACGCTTCGAAATCAGGATGCAGGAGTTATATTGGTTCATGTTGCCGAAAACAAGAGCAAAGTAAGGCTATTCACGGTTAAATTATATTAATTTGATTGATATTTATGTATTAACAAATTACCTATTTTGATAGGGATATCCATATGAAGCATTGTTTAGAAGTTTTAATTTAACCTTTATAGACAATGCAAGCTCAGAATATCTTTTTATTGTAGAATTTTTCGCAAAGGATGATAATCCCAATGCAGAATTGGCAAGGGACTTATTTGCTGAAATTTTCGATACTACAATCAAAATGGGATTGGTTCGTATTTAATTTTGTTATGAATTTATTTCTTTGAAATAGTTAGTTACTTAATAAAAATTATAGGATTCTACCAAACAATTTGTTGACAATAGTTATGATGCTATTGGAATCCTTCTATGTATTAGACTTAATACACAATTTGCATTAGAATTGCAGAGGAGGAAAGTTCCAGCTTTAGAAGGATATACCAATCAAATAAACATGTTATTATGGCCTAGATTTCAGGCTATTATGGATATGCATATTGAAAGTGTTAAAAAGGCTGCTACTAAATTGGTCGTTAAAGACATTCACCCACACTTTGTAAGTTTAACTTTCAATGAAATTTAGTAAATCTTGGGATAATTCCTTTATATTAAATTAAGTTTTATAATTAGATAAGTCGAAGATATGGAGAATTCGCAGCATCAATATTAATTCTAAATGAAGATTACAATGATCCAATTTTGTTAAATAGGTGAGTTAATAATTAATCATAAAAATAATTTAAAATATAACTAAATATTTAAAAATTTAATTTTATTCTAAACAGTCTTTCAAGATTAAGAAATGAGGTTGAACAATTCTTTGATAGGATGTCGAATAATTTTGATCGCAAAAGCCGAATTATATTCTTGATTAATAATTATGATCAAATCATGACTATCTTAAATGTAAGCTTTATAATAATAATATATATTTTTGGAATGATGTAAAGATATTTATTGATATAATTTATAGGAAACTGGTGGTAAAGCTGTAGAAGCAGAAATTATACATTTTAGAGATTTATTGAATGGACAAATATCGGGATTTGTTGAAGAAGAATTACAACCTTATTTTGAAAGTTTAATATCTTTTATTAAAAAAGTTGATCAAGGAAAGGATTTAACATCTACGGAGCCGGGTATGAAATCTCGAGATATATTCAAGATTTCAACATTTATGAGTATTCATTAATCTTTTATTTTAATTTTATTCATATAGAAATATTTGATCAAGTATCATCGGATTTTGCTTTAACATGGAGAAAATCTATAGCATTAATAAATACTTCAGTAATTCAACATTTCACCAATTTCAAAAATGGAACAACAATATTACATGCAGTATTAGGACAATTAATTATCTATTATACTAAGTTTTGTAATATTTTAGACGCAGCATTAAGAGATGGTAAAGTTAGAATTAGACATCAGCCTGTTAATGTTCAAAGCGTTATGGTGGAAATTAAGAAATTTAGAAGTAATTTTTAATTTAAATTTAAATTAAACCATCTCGTTCATCAGCGGCCAACCGAATATCATGAGCAATATAATTTAATCTCATTCATCATTATACCAAAGACTAATTATCACTTGCTTTGGAAATCTTTGGAGTGCAATACTTCGGGTGCTAAATAAGGTAATACCCCTAAATTTCTTCTCGGGACGCATCCCGTGATACATGATTATTATCTAATATATACTAATGACCTCGACTGAAATTCCCATACCAAAATTGTTTTACAATCATATTACTTAGTTTCGCTTAATTATTCGATCTTCTTAGAAATCCTGTAATAAAAATGCGTTATTAGTATAGCTATGACTGAATAAAAAAATGCCGAAAATAATCCATACCTCATAATGTGATATATGTGAAGTTATTTTACACTTAGGTGCAGTTGATCGATTTCGGCTTTTTTCATCATATTACAAAAATTGAAAATCTAACCCGGGTTATATGCAATTCTGAAACGAATAAACGCTTCCGAGTAATATCGCATTTTTTTGATCACTTGACTACAAGTTACATACCACACGTTTGTAAGATGTTGCTTGACACTCCGTGATGTAAATAATCTCTATCATTTCTGTGTTAGGTCGAAGATGATGAAAAATTTTTCGATATATGTAAGAAATTTTGTCACTCTCATTCTTGTGAGATTTTCCTACATCAATGACTTTGTTGCCATGAAACTTTCAGAGATTATAAAAAGAACTGGATCAAGAGATCAAATTTCACCACACCACGAAAAAAACAGTATTACTTGTCGGAAAATGAGTATGCTTTATTATTTCAAAAAAAAGTGAACTGATGCAAATATTAAAATGAATTACAGTACATCGCAGCTAAAAAGTTACATTGAAATTAAGATTTATATCTGAAGAATATCAAGATAACAGAATCATTGAATTTTTAATAGTGGATAAATTTTTAGAATTTATTCGAATTATTTTTTTTTCCTTCTCATTGAAAAAACGGAAATAATTATAAGAAGAATATATATATTATATCAGCGTTAGTAAGTTATTTTGATCACATCAGTCAAAGTTGAGGTTGTAATTTTGTCAGAATTCCAAGTTCATAATTTTTGAATTCCGTATAAACTTTGGTTTCAATTGGCTTTGACAGCAAAAAATTAACTCTGATATCATTGATGATGAAGCCTTGGCCTTTGACTTTATTATAGAATCACTCTCTGACTTGAGATGCACGTGTCCGTATCTAAAAAAAATACTGAAATTGCTTACATTATCATCGGCTTTCATAATATGGAATTGTCCAATATCACAATCTATATTTTTCATAAAAGAAAAGATCATTCCTTTAACTTGATTTTATCCCAAATAATCCCCTCCAATGAAGACGGATTGTTCGGCTAGGAAAGCTTATTTAACCACATTAAAATTAATTTAGAAATTTAAATAATAATATTACTTTTAATATTT